TAATCCATTCTTTAAAATTGTATACTTCTTTTCATTCTTCTGGCATCTCTTCTAACATGGCTCTTTGTTTTCTGAATTGATTCTTAAAATGTTTTGTCAGACTACTTAAAACATCTTTAGGTTCTATTGTTAGACTGACTTCTTTTTCATTATAGGTTATGAATCTGTCAAGAATTATTTTTTTTGTATAGTTTGTTTAACAAGCTAGCAATCATTTATTTTTGATTAGTTTTTATTATCTTATATCTTTTACTTATATTTTCTTTTATTTGTCTTCTTTGTGTTCATTTCTACTCTTCTTTTCTTCTGTCTTTTAGAATTCTTTGTCAACCTTTTATGTCATCTAACCAAGCTTCTAACTATTGTTTGTGCAGCCTTAATAATACTATTCCTATTTCTTTACCAATATCTTTAAGTTTATTGCTTATTTTTTTTTTTTTTTTCTATCTCTTGGTTTTTTTTTGTTTTCACTTTTTTTATTATTTGTTGTAGTTCAATTGTATGCCTACACTAGTATGACTTTCTGAGACAATGTCTTCTGTTTGACTTTGTGTTAAATATTTTTTTTCAGATTTTGTTTATTTGCTGCTTCTGTTATAGCTTCTTCTATTGCATTCTACATGTGATTTACTAAGTCTGTATAATACATATTACTCATTTCATCATCTTCTAATTGCTTTAGCACTTTTTTTTATTCTAATTGTACTTAGAGCTCTTTAGCATATTCTTCCCAATCTTCTTATTTTGCTTTCTCATATAGGTATATTGTTCTTATCTGGTCTTTGCATTTAATTTTTGCACAACTATGATTATCAATTACTTGCTCTACTTATATGTCTGTTGTTAGTATCTTGTGGTCACTGTCTGTTATGCCTTTTGTTTTCTCTATGTTGGCTTCCTGAAGGCCAGTTGCAATTGACTCTAACAACTAAATATAGTTAATTCATATTGCTGCTTCTTAACTTGACTATGTATATGCTCTTTCTGTTGAATGCAAGCTTTTAAAAGAGTCTATAAACTCTTGCCTCTTAAGCCAGTTAAAGATTGGTAGTCTTGCTGTATTTTCTTACTGATCATTTTGTTGTTTGGTAGAATATATATCTAATTACTATCAGAACTAGTTGCTTGAAGTATAGTTTTACTTCTATCATGTATTCACTAAATTTTTTAACTGTTCTAACATGTTTTTTTTAGATTTTGTCTATTAAAATCCCAATATCTGATTTTTTTTTCTTATCTAATACTGCACTTGCCCCAATAGCTTTAAAGTCTTGTATTGAGATTATGTAACAAGTTTTTCCTTTCTTTTTCTATAATGTTTGTTTCCATTATGCCCAGAAATGTTATTTTTTCTTTCTTTGCTTAGCCTAGCAGATTTTCTAAATTTCATCATCTAGTTTTAAGTCTGTTAACATTGTGACATGCAATTTTTATTTCTTTTTTTCATTCTTTTTATTTTTCTTTTAATTTTTTGTATCTTGTCTTTGTGTTTTCTGCTTTCTCTTTTTTTTTCATATTAGAAGATTTATCTTTGTTTTTTTTTTCAAAGATTCTTCTCTTACTGTGCAAAAAATCTCTGATCTTTTTATTCATATTCATAAATTCAACTAGGATGTCCTTAGGAGCAATTAGCTAGGTCTTCTCTAGCTATACCTCTAGTCTCTTCTAATCTTTTCAAACTTTTTCAAATTTATGCTAAGATGGTATCTATATGTAGCTCTTTTTCTTGTCTTTGTGTCTTAAATTCTTCTGATCTTTTTCCAAGGTTTTCTTCTCTTTTCTTTCTTGTGTTTGTATCTCTTGCTTGGCTTTTTTTATGTGAACTTTAGGATTCAATTCTTTCTTTTAATAAGGTACCTTCATAATTTAACCTATTTCTGTTTTTAGTTTTGTTTGAATAGGCCTTATTTCTTTGTTTTTTTCTGCTGCTTTTATTTTCTTCTACATCTAAGATCTAGCTGAATCTGTCCCAATCTTTTCATCTTTCTACTTTAAGACTTTTCCTTATTCTTATCTCTTTTTTCTCTTCATTTACCCAATAAACTCTGAAGTTGTTATATAGAATCAGTTTTGTTTAGGTTGCATTTATGTCTTTTTCTGTTGCAAATATGATTATTGCTGTTCTTTTTTGGTTTTCATTTTTATTTGAAGAGATATGGACTAACTTTACATCTTTGTTTCTTAGACATCATAGCAGTAAGACTTCTGAAGCATTTCTAGGTTGTTCTGTAAGTTTTGCTATATATTTTCTTTGTTTTTCTTTTGTTTTGTAGTTTTCTTTTTCTCTGATTATTCATACTAGTTTATCATTATTAACCAGTATAGCTCATGAGATATCTTTTCTTTCAACTACTTCTATTTGCACTATTGCAAGTGCTTTGTGTTTTGATCTTTTAATTCTTACTACTTGGGCATTCTTGAATCTTTTACAGATATATTCTAACTCTCTTCTGTTAATATCTGTTGACAAGTCTCATATTATTATATACTTCTTGTCATTGGACTTTTCATCTGTTTTGTAGTTGTTTAAGCCTGTCTTGAATTTGTTTTCTTCCTAGTTGTATATCTTTTTATCATTTTTTGTTATGCTGTTTCTTTTTTTTTAATATTCTTCATTATGTAATCTCTGTTTTTTTTTTGTCTTTTTTCTTTTCTGATATTAGTTTATACCAGTTATCTTTTTTTCTACTAATTCTTTGTATTGTTTTATTTCTACCATATTTACAATTAAAGTTTACTTTTATCTACAAGTTACCCTTTTTGAAGACTTCTTTAATGACTTTAATATATTTATTATTTTTTAGTGACTATTTGATAAACTTTATATGTACTTTTTCTGTTGTTTCTGGCATATTATGTACTAATATGTTGGTGAGTAAGCTGTTATTTTGATTGCAGTTTCTTCTGCTTGGTGCCCATATGCTTTCTTCAAGTGGCATTCTAACTATGTCAATTTTCTTTTCAATTTTTTGACTTTTTTTTTAATTTGTTATATCTTATATTCTTAAGTCTTGTTTTATGTTTCTCTCCAAGCTTGTCATGATTTGTTCTTATTCTTCTAGTTGGTTTTCATATTTTCTCTCTTGGATAGAAGGTTGTACTTCTGTTTGTTTGTTATCTAAATAACTTACCTTTGTATCTACTTTTTTTTGCAATGCTTTGATATCTTCTTATAATTTTCTTTCATTTGGCTCTTTATAAACTATGTCTTTTTTTTATGTTGCTTTGTGTAGGCCTTTTTGTTTTCCTATAGTTACAGCTATTTGTTATTGTAATTTTTTTTTTTTTGTCACTACCACCTCTTGCATTTGCTTTACTATATCTAGTTTTTTCTTTGACTGTTCTTTTTTATTATTTCTCTTGTTATTTGTAAGAAAGTTACCTTATTTGGAACTTGCTTAGTAAGCATTGCTACAATTTTATCCTTTTTATCTGTTATTGCATATGTTTTGCTAGCTTTATTGAAGAAAATCTTGTTATGAACACTGCTTATTGCACAGTATGCTCTTCTTATACAGATTGCTTTAATATTTTCTTTATATTCTTCAGGCAAATTTTTATCAATTTCTATTTCTATAATTGTACTTTTCTAGAAAATTCTATATCTGTCTTGTTTTGTTTTCTTATTTGTTGCTATGTGTTACTACATCTATTCTTAATTTGGTCATTTACAAATGATTGTTCTTACTTAATCAGTTATATAACTTTTGCATATTGTAAACAGATTTAAATTCAGAGTCAAGTGACAATTTCTACAGTTATCATTTTATTGCTAAAATTTTTTTAAAACCTTTATTTTTCTTTTGTAATTGCTTTAATAGCACTGTGCTGCTTCAGGTTCCTAAACTTGTTTAGTGTATTTTTTGCTATTGCTTCTTTTTGCTTAGTGCTATTTTGAAGGTTTTCTATCAATGATTGTATAAAAATTAGTTTTTCCTTTTTGCTGATTCTGTATTCAAATAATCATCAGAGAGAGTTGCTGATATTTCTTTTATAATAATATTATTTGTTATTTGCATATGTCTATATAATAACAATATACAAATTTATATAGACTTTTAATCAATTATTACAAAATTTAGCAAAATTATCAATAATCTAATTTCAACATATAAGTAAAATTTTTACTTATATTGGCTTATCTAATACTTATTATTTAACCTAATTTAATCATATTAATATGCAGTTACTTTTTACAAAATATCTGCATATAGCAATAATATATTTAACAATGAAGCTAACAAGTTAGTAACAAACCATATCTTTATTGTATATCTTAATTTAATATACAAAAATTAATACAATATCTTATATACTTTAAAATATAGAAAATATATAATCAAACAACCTACTAAATAAGCTATTAAAAATATTTGTAATGTACATAACATTATATAAGCAATATTATTTTATTATTATTACAAATTAATTGAAATGCTACCTGGTTATATCTTAATAACGATATCAAAAGAACTAATAACTTTACTAACTTTTTACTTAATTAAAATAAACTCTTTAAAATCAAATACTAGTTAACATCTTACTAACACTATATTATTTTTATAAACTATATTTAGATAGTTTTTAGCATAATAACTATATTACTTGCCAAATATTAGAACATATACTATACTAGTTGCTTTGTTCTAATTTAATAAATCTTACTAATATTATTATAAAATCAAAATTTGAAATTATTAATAACATATTACTAGATATTACACAACTATAAATATAACAATTATATCATTTATTAACTCAACATAACAGTCTATTACTTAATAATATTTGATAAGAACAAATTAGCATATATATAGCATAACAAGAATATGTACTAATAGATCTAATTATAATAATCAGACCTTACACTACATCTTATCAAATAGCAACTTCAGTAACTACCAAACTGCTTACTAAAATATTAACAAAAAATATATGATTATATCTGAAAACTATATATTATTAAACTAGCATAATAGAAAAAAAATAACAATATTATATCAAATAACAGATTTACAAGTTATAAAAAATTCTATAACAGCAACAGCTGCACCAAACCAATTAACAAATAAAATAACAACAATCAGTATGAGAGGTAACATATACAAAGTAAGACCTAGGAGTTTATTAGAAAAGGTGTTAGAAAGATCAACAGCACAATGTCTGCAGAGAGTTGGCAATGCAGAGCTTGTCAAAACACTAGAAACAACAAATATTATAGAAACAAGAATAGACAGATATATAGCATTCCTGTTCGCAGCAGATGTAGCAGACATAGTAGCAGTAAGAACATTAAGTGAAGCCATCACATGGGTGGACAAAAGAAGTAAATTGATAGATTTTAGCTTTAAGATAGAGGATAGCTCACAACAGCAGAGAGAAAAAAAAACAAAAATGCAAAATAGCCAAAAGAGATAGTTGAAACAAAAGAAAATAAAGAAATGGTAGAATTGGAAGAAGAACTCAAAAAATATGAAGCAGGTAAGGAACAGATAATAACAGAAAAAGAATAAAGATATACAGCACAGGAACAAGATATAAAGGAGGTAAGAAGAAATAAAGAGACTCTATGACACAATTTAAGCCTGATAAAAGCAGAAGAAAAGAAAGAAAACAAAGAAAGAGACTTAATAATACTACAAAGAGACTTGATAGAAGTGTCATTAGAACAAAGCATTTGGGCACCAGACAACAGACCATATAACAATGAAACACCAGTAATAGTGAGAATTCCTGCCTATAATGTTCTAGGTGAAACAAAGTTAGAAAGAACAGGCATGGTAAAATAGATACTTAATGCAAATAGACATATTACAAAAATTGAAGAAGTTTTTGTAAAAGGCAACAGTTGGATTGAAATATCATTTGACTGTAAAAGAGGAAGAGAAGAAGCAATTAATTGGATAAAGCAAAAAGGTGAAGATTAGTTTAATTTGATTTTAGTTAAAACATGAAACCAAGTAAAGAGTAAAAAAGAACAAAAAAAAGCAATAGACAAGCATAGAGTAAAGAATAAATAACAGAAAGGAAGTGAAAGTTCTGAAGACCTTAAATAGAAAGAGCCCAAACAAAAAGAAATATAGCAAAGCAAAATAAGAAAGCAAGATGAGGCTGAAACAGAAGCAGAAAGATTACAACAAAAGAATTAGAAGAAGCAGAAACAATAAGATATCTAACAATTTGGGACTTACCATCAGACATCAATAAAAAAGAATTGAAATATATATGCAGAAGTATGAGAAATATGCATATAATATGAATTAAAAGATTACAATATAAAGTACTAGCAGTTATAGCAGCAGATTGTAGAGAAAAAAAAGACAACATATGGACATTACTTCTTGGCAATAGTAAATTAGCAAGAGTAACAGAAGGAAATGAAGACTATATGCAAAAAGAGAAACAAAGCCATTTTATAACTAAGTTATTAGACATCCCTAAAAAAGCATCAGAAGTACTTTTATTAAGATGTCTAAGAAATAAGGAAGCAAAGGCGGTATATATACTATTTAACAGAAACAGAAATCAGAAAAAGTTTGCAATAATTACTTTTGCAAATGCTCAAGAAGTAGAGGCAGCTTAAACAACACCAATATGGTATAACAACCATTAAGTAAGATGAGAAAATCCTAAAAGAAGAAAAACACAGGAAAGAGAAGAGTCAAGAGGCAGAAAACAAGAAAGATCAAAGTCAAGCAATGAAAAACAGTTGAATTACAGAAGACAAGAGACATCAAAAGTCAGAGGTACAAGACACGAAACACCTATTAAGAGATATGGAGAAATGGAAAGCAACTTGCAGTTACAAGATATAAAAGCATGGTTAGGAGACAAAAACATAGACATAAAAAAAGAGGCAGTGATAACAAAGGAAAAGAAGGCCAAAACAAATATAATAGATCAAGAAAGAATATTACCAGTAGAAAATGTCTTGTTTCAAATATTAGAAAGACTAGATAGAATAGAAGAAATGCAGCTAGAGGTGAGTAAAGGTTCAGCTGACCACTCCTAAGGGTGCCCTAGTTGAGCTTAGGAATACAGATAAGGAAATTGAAGCCTTTCTGCAAAAGAAAAAAAGAATGTTTGAGAAGAAAGAAAGAGAAGCATCTCCTTATCTGAAAGAAAAAAAAAAAAAAGATGATTAAAAACACTGACAATACAGAAATAAGACAAGAACAACTAAAAGAAAGATGGAAAGAGGGAAGAAAAGAAATCAAAATAGCATATTATAATATTAATGATTTAAAGACCAAAGGTTGGAAACTCGAGAACCTGTTAGATTAGGCAGAAGAAAAAGAAATTGCAATATTGGGAATCACAGAAACGAATATTGTTAAAAGAGAAGAAAGATTTTTTTTTTTTAAATATTAAGGTGAGTACTTGTGACCCAGGATTTTATTGATAGTACATTCAGCTAATAGTTGCA